TTATTATTATTATTATTATTATTATTATTATTATTTATTATTGTTATTATCATTATTATTATTATTATTACAATTATTATTATTGTTATCATTAATTTATTAAAACTTGTTATAATATAAAAATCTCTTTTTTAAAATAAATAACTTTATCATCTTTTCCAAATTAATATGAAAACCTATTATTTTTAAGAAAAACTTTTTTTTTAGATAAATTTAAAATAATAACTAAAATCTTTTTTTTAAAATAATAACTAGAACCGTTTTTTTTAAATATATATAATAACATTAAACCTTTTTTTTTTTTAAAAATAAAACCTTTTTGTTAGATAATTAAATTAAGACTATTTTTGAAAAGTTTTTTTAATAATATTAAAACCTCTTTTTTAACTTAAATCAAAAGCTTTTTTATATATCACAAATAAACAACAAAGAATATCTATAACTTTCGCACTTCCGTTTCATAACTCGTCTGATTACTGTCTGACTCGGTCTACTAACGTTGTGTATTCAATGTGCAGCTTGTTACGTTGCTATTAGCTATTTTAATGTGTTTTTCAATTCAAGTTGTATTATAATTGTATCTGTTTCTCATTTGTAACTTCGCGAACAAATTATCGCGTTTACCTTTCCGCACTTTAATTTCTGCTGTTTGTATGGTTTAAATTCGCGCATTTGCATCGTTAATTTGTCCCATTGCATTCCTCCGAAGGATTAGGTCTAGCCGTTTGGCCGCCACGCCAATAGTCTTCAAAAGTTCAAACTCTTACAAACCCTAACTTTTCACAAATGTCTCGCCGTGGACAAAATTACAAAACTACCCCTAGCTTTAGGTCAAAGAGTCGCCACACTCATTTTAGGGTTTCCCGCCGCAGAATCCCTAACCTAACCCTAATGCACTTAACAATTTATAACATAGAGATCGGAGTTTAAGACTCCATGTAAGCGTGTCCTTAAGATGCGTTTATTCCCCTTGAGACCTTGACCACAGTCAAGAAGTCTCTAACCTCCCTTTTGAGGGGAACTACAGTTACTCTGATTCCATTCCCGTAAGGATATGTAGGCACAAGATGCGATGTCTTGCCGAGTAAACTTAGAATTAACCCCTTAGGTCTTTTAAAACCCTTAATCCTTTGTACATACCCTTAAAGCAAAAAAATGAAACAAATAAAAAAATAAACAAAAGGTTCCCGTAGAGTACTACGGAAGTTTAGGGTGCTAATACCTTCCCTAATCTTAACCAACCCCCGAACCTTAGATCTCTCCCCTTTAGGTTTTTTCCATTTCTTTAACCTTTCCTTCAGATACAAAGACCGGTTGTAAATGAATTAAGATTCAAGTTAATTAATAGCTTGACATCCAAATTTCACCGCAACACCTAATATTTCCCATCTAAGAATTTTTTAGATGTGCGGTGTATATTTCAATTTCTCTACCACAACACACTAAGATGGATCCTCAAAGGAGGATGGAAATATATGTTGGATATGAATTCCCATCTATTGTTAAGTACCTTGAACCAACAACAAGAGATTTATTCACGGCTCGTTTTGATGATTGTCATTTTTATGAATCAAATTTTCCAGCATTAGGGGGAAAGAATAAGGAGCTGGAAAAACATATCAGTTGCAATGAGTTATCATGATCTCATCTTAATCCTCGAACAAAACAATGTGAACTAGAAGTTTAAAAGATAATTCACCTGCAAATCTTATCAAATCAATTACCAAATGCATTCACTAATCTAAAAGGTGTTACTAAATCATATATAGCAGCTGCAAATTGTAACACCCTTTTCTACCCCACAAATATAATGGCAAATCAATCATATTTATCCGAGTAAAATATTAAACACAATAAAATCATCTCAAAAGGGCGCACATTTCTCAATAATTCAAATATAGTCAATGTTCTGTAAACAATGGGTTTTCCCAAAATTACTCAAAATATTACTCAACAGGCAGCGGAACTCAAAAAGGAAAAATCCAAAGTTTTCCTTGCGCAGCAACATAATCAAAATAACAATAATCAATAAAACATGGTTTAACTCAAAGACCCCAACCCGATGTTACACTATCAGAGCAAGACCCTCTAAACCATCAGAAAGGCAACAATAATTTAATACTAAAAAATTCCTAAACCCTTAAATCAGATTTAAACACATTGAATCACATATTGAAAACAATGAACGCAATACTCCCCATACCTTAATTGTCGACTCTAAGCCTTTCTCCTTGATTCTTGAAAACCTTGCGAAGCCTTTTGCCTCAATCCTCTTCCTCAGAGCTCTGATTTCTATTTCTTCCATTTTCACGGTCTAACAAGAATGATCTTAATTCCCTCAAAATTCCTTTTTGTTAAACCTAACTTTAAGGCTTAAGCCTTAAAATTGAGCTTTCCAACTTCACGCTCACTAACTCCTCCTCAAATGTCCACTTTTCCCTTAATTCGCTTATATTTATTTAAATTAATAATAATATCAATATATTTATATTATATATTATTATTTAAGTAAATAATCCAAAATCCATAATTCTCAATATTCACACCAACCACCGAAAATCACAAAAAATGTGAATATTCATATTTAAATAAATCAAATAAATATTTCAAGAATTTGGGATGTTACAACTCTCCCCCACTTAAAAGAATTTTTGCCCTCGAAAATTACCTCAAGGAAACAGAGTCGGATACGACTCCCTCATCTGATCCTCACGCTCCCAAGTCATACTCCCTCCAGTTGGTCCTCCCCAAACTACCTTTACCAAGGAAATCTCTTTACCTCGCAGTTGATTCACTTCTCCTTCATCAATCTGAACTGTCAATGCCTCAACAGTCAAATTATCTCTCACTTGTACATCATCCATCTAAATCACATGTGACGGATCTGGAATTTACTTCCTCAACTGAGACACATGAAACACATCATACAAATTCGCAAGTGACGGTGGTAAAGCAACCCCCTAGGCCGCTATCAACTGTTGTGCTTACAACCTTTCTAGGAATCTAAACCTATTATGACACCCTCATGCGTCTTCTATATCCTCCAGGGCATCCCCTAGGCCGTCTTCCAAATATGTCACCATCATTTCCATTGCCTCATCTATGATAATCATGTTGTGGTATAACAGTCTTCCCTTGATAGGAAGATGCAACAAGAATAGGACATCATCTAGTGTAATAAACATCTCACCATGTGGAAGATGAAAAGATGACGTCTCAGAATGTCATATTCCAACGAACATAAATAACATACCATGGTTAATCATAGAATACCCGGTCATGCATAAGTCTCACAGCCCAGATAGCTACATCACCTCGTGAAACTACTGATTTTGAGAATGAGGTAGCTTCACAATCTTCTGGCCATGGTTGATGCATTTTAAAGCATCACATTCCTGCATAAAAATAAATCATCGTAAAAAACTTTGAATATTATAACAAAGGTGTTTCAAAGAATGAATACAATTGAATATTACCTTTTCGTTCGACACATGTCTGACAACATGGTCAGGATATAGAGGCAACATTGATAAGTCGGGAAGGCCTCCTCCAAACCCCTCAGGAACGACATCATCTGGGGTGCCTCAACTTGGACCGGTGGGGGCTTTCAGACTATCAGGAGGTGATACTTGTCTCCTCTGGGAAGACAAGGCCAAAGATGCATGAACCTCAGAAGTTGATGTCTCTGCATCAAACAAACTAGAACTGACTGGTTGTTGCAAACGTGAGTTTCTTTCCCTATGAATCGATGCATGCTGCTACACTCTGTCGAGCCTCAATCTTTCTTGGTCATTAGTCATAATCCCTATAATTAAATCACACAAGCATTACATTGTAGGAAAAAATCGATTTCATCTAAAACAGAAAGAAAATCAAGGAAAACATTGTAGACAAACCAAATATGGAAATGAATTTCTGGATTTCTGGAAAATCAAATTTTGGACGAATACAAAAATGCATTTTTGTATTAACCTGTAAGTCAGTAAACACGAAAATGACAGCAATGTATGAAAATCAAACGTTCTCAAAACGCAATACTCATCTAAACCACCTATCAAATACATTGTTCAGTCAAATAACCTATCTAAACTACCTATAACACAACATATCAAACGCATTGTTCAATTTCTACAAATGTATATAGAAATAAAAAACTTATCAAATGTGAGTTTGATTATGAGCTCTTTGATTGATTGAATGTTGACGGTAGAACTGACGTGAATTGAGAGTTTGAGAGACTTTAATAGAGTTTGAAATATTTTGAAACATTGAGAAAGAGAAATAAGGAAAGAGAATTGTTTAACGCATTTTTAATTAAAAATGCATCAAGAGGTGCATTTCTATGCGATATACAGATATGCATTTTCATATTATTTTCTGACATAAATTAGAGTCTAATTTAATAACGAATGAATTTTGTGCGAATGATCCGAAAAAGATATTTCAATATTTTAAGAGTATATAATCGTAAGTGGTTAAAATATATCATGAATTAGGAATCTTAGCTGGACATAATTGAAAGGTAGTTTGCCTTGGGCTGCTACTAAAGTATAAAATTCTTTGTAATTGGTCAATTTTCCCGGCCCCTACAAATCAAACTTATCGTTTCTTTTGCCAACTGTGTCAAGTAGGTATAGTACCCAAAGGTAGGTCATACTATAAAACAACTAAAATTAGTTTAGTGCTCAAATTTCTAACTAAACATAGTTTATACAAACTTTATCATTTCAAATTTCCTTGTCAATACTATTATATATACTCATCTCATAAACAACAACAAAAAAAAGCTCCTTTAAAATTTATGTAAAGAAAAAAAAAATATACATATAGTGTGTATCACATTACAAAAAGTTCAAGGTATCTATGATTACATCACATTATATATTAGTAATATAACTTGGAAGGTCCAAATAACCTTCAAATAATTTCTGAAAAATCCTAATGAATCTAAACTAGACACTACATTAAATTAAACTGCACAAACAAATCAAACTGATTTTTTAATTTCTACTAATAGTACTCAAACTTGAAGAATAAAATGAAGTAAAAGGTGTTGATCTTCCACTTTGTTGCATGCCATTCAAAAGAGAAGACTGAAAAGATTCATGGCCAAGTGGCACAGGCCTATCAGGCAAATTAGGAATATCAATATCACCTTCTAACATCTTAAGTGCCTCAGCAATAGTAGGCCTCAATGCAACCATTGCATGAGCACAAAGAATTCCAACAAGGACAAACCTTTCCATGATTTTCTCTGGTCCTTGATCTCTAATTGATTCATCAAATATCTCATCAACTTTTCCTGATTTTGCAAGTGACCAAGCCCAATCAGTTATCAATACAACAGGTGAATTCATTGTATCAAGCACTTTTCTACCACTCATTACCTCAAGTATCACTATGCCAAAACTATAAACATCACTTTTTTCTGTTAGTTGGCCATATAAAGCATACTCAGGTGCTAAATAACCATATGTTCCTGCCACTCTTGTTGTTAGATGAGACTGTCCTTCATTACCTTGTTTCGCCAATCCGAAATCAGCCACCTTCGCTTTCATTTTCGAGTCCAGAAGTATATTCGTCGCCTTAATATCGCGATGAAAAATCGGCGGCTTGATTTCGTAATGCAAATAGGCCAACCCTTTAGCTACATCAAGTATAATATTCTTCCTTTGAGGCCAAGTTAGCTTATTAGCACCGTTAACTGATAGCTGATAGCTTAAACTTCCATTCGGCATATAATCATAAACCAAAAACCTTCTTTTACCTCTTACACTATGACTTGTAACACAACAACCTCTCAAAGCAAGAAGGTACCTATGCTTGATTTTGCTTATAATCTCAACTTCATAGCAAAACTCTTCATCTCCTCTAGTTTCCAAATCAAAAATTTCTTTCACAGCAACCAAAGTTCCATCAGAAAGTGTTCCTTTGTACACAACACCATCACCACCTTGACCAATCTTATTCTTCAATGAAAACTTGTTTGTAGCCTTTTCAAGTTCTGATATGTGAAACCATTTAGCTCCTGTATTAGGCAAAACACTGTCTCTAACACTGTTTTCAACTGACCTGTGATAAAGATTTTCCCTTCTCATCTTATCCCATTTTTTATACATAATAATCAACACAAAAGCAAGAACAACACCAACAATAGCACCTAATAAACCAAAAACAAGTTTCAGAATTTTTCCATTGTTTGATTCTGATGACCCTTTTGATGAAAGTGGCATACCAAGTATACAAGCAGCTGCAGCAGGATCTGTAGGACCAAACTGATTCACAATACCAATAGCATATAAAATTGAAAAGTAAAAACACTTGGATGAATTTTTTGGATTAATATCTGCAAGCTGAGTAGTTACTTTAAAACCAGCATCAGTACACATGCTACAAGTGGCTTCAGATTTCATATTACTATTACAAGAAGTATCTAAAGGACTCATCACACCAACTTTTTGTTTCCAGTCTGTGATGTTTGAGATACCTGCACAGCTTGAGGTGTTGGTGACAAACTGAGTTGAGTTTGGAAAACAACTAGATACTAACAAAGGTTGGATTTTTAAGGATGAAAGTTTGAGTTTGAAATCTTGTAAACATGCTGAGGAAATGTTTTCATTTGGGAATTGAAAGAGTTGAGTTTCTTTGAGATGTTTTGCAAGACCTATACCAACGAGACTGAGAAGTGATTGACAACAGTGGTTTGTGTCAATTGGGTCTCTGCAGGTTGATGTGTCCCATGGAAAGGTTTCAACATAGCTGAGATCAATAGGACATGATGCAGAAGAAGATGCAGAATTTGTAGTAGCAATGAAAAAGGTGAAGAAGACGAGAAAGGAAAGGAACGAGAATCGGTGGTTACTATTATCCATTTTTAGATCTGTGTTGAAGACACAGACACAAACACAAACACTGATTGGTGTTTTTTGAAAACGTTGGAGGGTTATAAAAGAGATGTTTTTGAGAGAAGAGGTTGTTTTACAAGTCAATCTCGGCATACTATGGTCAAAAGACATGTTTTGTGTATTGGTATTAATTAATGCAAAATCACATGATGAAATGAATAAACATTAGGTGATTTCTTAAGCTTGTTGTGTTAGTCAAATTGTTTCTATGAATATTCGTTAACAATAATATAGTGGTAGTTAAGGGAACCTTCCTACTGAATTCCGTGATAAATACTAAATACTATAGGAGTAGTAAAGATCTCTAAGCTAGTTTTCTTTCATTTTTATAATTTTAAATTTAACATAACAATCAAATTTTTATGAATTTTTATTTTAAGATAACCATGTTTTTCAAATAAAATATTAAATAAAAATAAATTTAGAAAAAAATACGAAAATAACTACCTTTTTAAAAAGAGTCGGCATATGAAATGGCTGATCAAAGTCATCCTGACCTGAGTTGCCATTCATATGACATAAAGGTTAAAAATGTGTTGCCCTACCCTACACTGAGTCGTCATACCATATGACGTCTCAGTTGTAGGATTTTTATTATTATTTTTTTATATAATATTTAATTTTTGTTTAAAAAGCATATAATTAAAAATAATAATAATTAAAAGAATATAATTAAAAGAAATAATAAATTATAATATTTATAATATAAAAAAACTTCAATATTGTACAACAAATGAAAAAAGGAAAATCAATGACCGACTCTATCAAAACAACCACCGCTACCACATTGTGGAGGATTCGCGCGACGTCGAGGTCTACCACAAGGTTGTTGAGGTGTATCTGGTCTTTGCGTGTTGACCTGTGGAAGAGGTATTTGTTTAGATGACCCCGACGTATCAGATAAATTTTGAAGCATTTGACCCCAATAGCCGGGCGGGCCGCTGCCAACAGCGCTTCCGTAATAAAGTTCAATGCCCATGTTTTCGTAGTTTTGTTGGGGAGGTTGGGTGGAGTGTGGACGGCATGGTTGTCCGAATTGGTACATCGAATCAGTTTGGAAACGATGTAATGGTTGTTGTGAGGTTTGATAGTAAAAAAATGGATAGGTATTTTGTTGGTAGGAAGATTGATTGGATGGTGTGGGGTCAAAAGAGTTATCTGGGTTATAGGTGGATGGGTATGGCCAAAAGATGTATCAGGACTATATGCAGAAGTGGTGTCGGTTTCAAAAGGCTGACGGTAGGAATAAGACTCTTGTTATTGTGATTGGGTTGGTGGCATGTATGGGTTGTGGTTTTGGAAGATTGATTGGGTGGGCATAGTTGGATGTTGGGTATAACATGGTGTTTGATGTTGGGCATTGGGTTGCTGTTGTGGGTTCGAGGAAGACACATGTTGCCTTGGGTCAATCAAATATGTCGGCTTAGACACAAATTGTTGTGATGTTGTAACCGACCTAAACCAAATCATATATTGATAACTTGGTCTAGCCCCTTCCACAATAGGGTCAGTTAAGATGTGTTGATGTCGGTTCTTCTAATGCAGACACGTCTCTTTCGCAAAGTCCTTCCAATGATTTACACTTCATTGCGTATCCACCCTTAGCTAATGCCAATGTCCCAATGACGTTGGAGTGACTGGAATATCCTGATGCATCCCGAACTGCAGTTTCACCCGGTCACTTTGGTGCATCTCCACTATAGTGAACCGAATGATAGGTGTTTTAGATGTCCACATGGAAATATCATTGGCGTTGGGCTGGTGGTCGAGACCTACGTACGGTATCCAGACAAACTACATTAACAATATATTTAATGAGAAATACAAGCATGTGGTTATCAATTAAACAAAGTAATGGTAGATAAATTACATCATCTGGCTCAATGTGTTCTATAAGGTTGCGGTACACAATTATGGAGTTCCTGGGACATCTTTGGTAATTCATTCCCGGAACAGACCACCTAAAAAAAAGAAACACAAATGAATTAGTTGTTAGACTATGGCACGGATCTAGAAGGAGGGGTTGAATAGATCCCAATTAAAAATTGAGTCAGCGCTACCAATTAAAATTGGTTTTGAAAATTGGTTTTAAGTGTGGAAGCGGCCGAGGAAAATATAGTCTAAAACGAACGGTTATTGGAAAACCGGATATGCGTTAAGCCTATGGATTAATGACAATATGGAAGAAGAATCACAACACTAGTCACACTTATCAATGATCTAATTCACTTGTTAGGATTCCTAGTTCCAATGATTTAAAAAGCAAGCCAAAACTAGATACACAAATAAGATAATTTTGGTTCAGGCAAATTGTCGAACACTTGGTGTGCAAAAACACTCCAAGTGATATTTATGTTGAGTAAGTGATTCTAACTAGCCTAGTACAATATCTTATTGTACTTTGGATTCAAAAACAGAGTTTCAACCTCTTACTCAATTGATATCACAGTTTGACAATAGTGCTTATACGAAAATCACTTATTTTAAAGCTAAAACGAAAATGCTGAAAAAATAGAGAAGACAAAGATTTGGTGAGGCAGTTCCCCCGTCGTCCTCGCTTCGGGGTACGTCTGCCCTCAATTCTAAAACTAGAATTGAGATAGATTTAATAGATATCACCTGTTGAATGTAACAGTTTATACAAGGATTGAACAACAAATTTATAACAGAATTCTCAAGACGTTGAATGTTGCTTTCACTCCTTGCCCCTTGATTCAAGATGAATCAAGTCCTCCGATCGTTGTTGATAGACCATGTGAAATGCCAAGGCTTCATGCGCTGACTGATGGTCGACTCATGGTTGTTGTGTGCTGACCAGTGGGAAATGAACTGATCCATGCGCTGATTGTATGGTCGACTCATGGTTGTTGTGTGCTGACCAGTGGGAAATGAACTGATCCATGCGCTGACTGTATGGTCGACTCATGGTTGCTATGTGCTGACCAGTGGGAAATGAATTGATCCATGCGCTGACTGTATGGTCGACTCATAGCTCCAAAATATGCAAAAATTGGCATGTTTGCTGTTTCGTGCATCTTGTCACGACTATATATCAATCAATTATATTGTAATGAACTATGATGATTTAAAAGGATATAGGAAGGATGTAATATGTTAAGTATTGCATGACGACTCCGATTCATCCGAGGTTGTACTTTGTCATCATCGAAACTTGAGAACCTATGTTGTGAGACAGTTTGCCCTCACATACTCCCCCTTTTTGATGATGACAACCTATGCAAAGCTTAGTGAGAACAACATGCAATATCGTTAACATGGTAGTATAAGCTCCCCCTTTCTTTTGCAATCAAAGCCCCTTTCTTTTGCAGTCAAAGCTATTGTAATCTTTTGCAATCAGAGATATTGTGATCTACTATCTACTTGTCTTTTCTCCCCCTTTGACAACATCAAAAAGAGATGGAGAAGGTAAAGTTCTGAAAGATTAACAATTAACAAAATACTCAACAGGCTATAAGTGATCATATACCAATATCCACACAAAATATTGACAATGAGCAAAATATTGAAAATAGATTAAACAAGATTTAGGACACATAAAGTCATTACATTTCATGGGAATCAAGTCTGTAAAACAAACATTTGTGCACTTAGGAGAGATAAAACAGAACATGATAACAAAAACAGCATGGAGAATGAGCAAATGAAAAAAATAGATGACTAATAGCCTCGTCCCCTGCCCATATCAAAGGAAGACGGATTGCGATATGGATCAGCCATATCAGTGAGGTAATCCACTGCTTGATTCAGGCGATTGATGCTGCGAGAGACGATTGTTTCTTGGTATCCATGGGCAGTTGTGAAAGCTGCAAATCTTTCATCCATTCTTGTTGAAAAAGAGTTGAACTGTTCAGATTGGGTGTGTAGCTCAGTTCGGATGCACAAATGCAGATTTGCACTTAATGTCACATATAATGCCATATTTGATGCCTACCTAAAATGCCACAAAACAATTTGCATCCAAACACATAGCAAATGTCATATATATATATATATATATATATATATATATATATATATATATATATATATATATATATATATATATATATATATATATATATATATATATATATATATATATATATATATATATATATATATATATATATATATATATATATATATATATATATATATATATATATATATATATATATATATATATATATATATATATATATATATATATATATATATATATATATATATATATATATATATATATATATATATATATATATATATATATATATATATATATATATATATATATATATATATATATATATATATATATATATATATATATATATATATATATATATATACACTATTTGTCATATGATACTATTATTGAATCATGAGAATTTTAAGGAGAGAGAGAGAGAGAGAGAGAGAATGGAACAATATCACCTCTACACCAGAATAACTTGATAACAATACACTTGTGCTTGCAACAAAAACTTAACTTGTTAGAAGTACAAGCATGTAATTATAAGTGAAGTAAGACGAAATAAGCAATTATAACCCGCGATCCGAAATGTCGAGAATGCCAAGTTCTCGACGGATATGAAAGAAAGGTTCAGTGGCTAACGGCTTTGTGAAGATGTCCGCTAGTTGATTTTTGGTGTCAATGTGTTCAAAGACAACGTCACCTTTCTCTACATGATCCCTCAGAAAATGGTGTCGAATTTCGATATGTTTGGTACGAGAATGTAACACAGGATTTTTGGTGAGATTAATAGCACTTGTATTGTCACAAAATATGGGAACACGTTCTAGTTTTAAATTGAAATCCAATAGTTGTTGCTTAAGCCATAGGACCTGTGCGCAACAACTACCGGCGGCTACGTATTCCGGTTCGGCGGTTGACAAAGCAACAGACACTTGTTTCTTGCTGTTCCAACTGACCAAGGAGTTTGAAAATAAGTGACAAGTACCGCTGG